AAGGATGATTTTAAGTGTGCCGTATTTTCCAAACAACACGGTAATAACGACGGCCCGCTAGCATGCGCTACCAAAAATAGTGCTTTGTTGTGTATCTGACGGACGAAAGCTAAACCAGTTCCACACCAGTGAAGCTGCAGCATTTTTACAAACCAGTTCTGGTTCATCCGTTTCATTTAATGATCCACTTTCGCGGATTCACCGACACACTTTTTCCGCCATGTGCGTATGTAAACAAAGGCACTGTTTTACCCATATTCTATCGCGATATTTCATTTTTTTATCGTTGCCCGACATTATACCGGTATTACCGTGAACGGTATGATGTGGCCCAGCCCTAGTAGTCTGTGTCCGTAGCCAGTCTTGTCATTGCCCTCGGTCAGGGCTCAGGCCTATGCAGGACAGTACTGGTGACAGGACATCTCCTTGGTAAATCCCGCACTTGGCAGAATGTGCTGTTGGCTTGAAGTTGGCCTCTAGTGTTGTTTGCGACATCACCATCCTTTTAGTGCTCTGCTCATGTAGTGAGCCATATGTCTGTTTATCTTAGGCACTATGATGCCTGATAGGACATTACATGTGGTCCTGAGGCAGGTTATTAGCTGTTAGTTAGATGAAACTGGTTCCTTCTGGGGATCCTTGGGGATCAGAATTGGAACACAGACACAGCAGCTTGGTATCCTCTCTACCTCTGTGCCCCCATCAAACACATGTGGTTATTGATGATGTGAGTCCTGGTAGGAGTAGTAGGATAATCCTACAGCACCATACTTCTTGCTCATATTTAGCCATATCATGTCAAATGTATAGGGCAACGCTACAATGTGCAAATGGATGACAGCGTGTTGACTGAAGGCAGAGAGAACCGCAAGCAACAACAATAATGATGGATTGCATTTATATAGCGCTTTTCATGGCACTCAAAGCGCTTTACAATACCACTATTCATTCACTCTCACACACTGGTGGAGGCAGCTACGGTTGTAGCCACAGCTGCCCTGACAGAAGCGAGGCTGCCATATCGCGCCATCGGCCCCTCTGGCCATCACCTGTAGGCAGAAGGGTAAAGTGTCTTGCCCAAGGACACAACGACCAGGACAGAGAGCCCGGGGATCGAACCGGCGACCTTCCGGTTACAGATGCGATTCCCAACCCCCTGAGCAACGGTCGCTCCAACAGAAGATAACTGTAGTATAAGCCTGGCAGAGCATCTCAAGGGAGTTTATACTTTAGGTAGTTATGAGGACTAAGGACTTTCATCCAAGTATTAAAAACAATCCATATTTAATGATTTTATGTATTCTGTTAAATGGGCCAATAAGATTTTTGTTAAATTGTGGCCTGCGCTTCACAATTTCTCCAAATACTAAACATTTCATGCAATGCCTTTGTTCAATACTTTGAATTCAACCTGAAAGTCTGTTCTTTGATTTTGATCTTTTAGCACACTTAGTTGTTGTTTTGTATTATTCGGGCTGCACAGCTAATTGTGCCTAATCAACTGGTAGAATGACCTTTTTTAATGAAATCAAAGAGTATGTGTTTGTTCTACATCACAGCAACCTTGTCTGTGTGCAGGCTGACAGGTATATTTAGGCCTCCTCTTTCCTTTAACAGTGGTTAACCTAACTAGTAGCTCCAAGAAGAATGTCCTACTGGTCTGTTGGTCTTCACCGGGACTCTGGAGACATTCCCAGCAACATGGAGCAAAAAAGCAGTAAGTAACCTTCCCAGCATCTTATGTGTGTCTCTCTTATGTACATGGCTGGTTTGCTTGGTTTTCTTGATGCAGTCGTGGCCTCATGAGGCAGGTTGAGAAAGAACGTTACTGCAAACTGAAATGTAGCCATGTGTGAAGTGGCAGCAGCACTTCTTTCTTTTAGAAAAAGAAGAACTGAAACTATGATGGTTTCAAAAGTGTTATTTTTTGCCATTTGTATGTGAAGTAAACTGTGCACCCTGACATCTCGCTTAACACATGTAAGCATCTTCTAGATTTTCTTCCTGCCAAATACAGCATGTTTCACTCTGCAGTGTGTGGCAAATGATAATAGATGACGTGGGATTAGGTAGGAGAACAGTGGAACATTGTAAACTGGTTTGTAGTCAGTTTGATTACTCTTTTTTTCCCCACTGTAACGAGGAACCTAATGTGTTTGTATCTTTTGACTTCCTGACTATAATACGACAGACATTCAAATTAATTTAGCGTTAAAAAAAAAAGAAGAAGAAGAAGGGAAAAAAAAGACATTTTGCTTAAACTTTATAAACTTGCATAATAATATATAGTCAAAGGAGCTTGCAAAGAAAAGCGTCTGGACTTCTTTAAGTTGCTTGAAGACTCTCCACCATTTGACCTTAGAACTGAAGCAGCTTCTCGGATGAGAGGTGAAACGTCTTCAAGCAACTTAAAGAAGTCAGACGCTTTTCTTTGCAAGCTCCTTTGACTACGATGACCTGGATGACTGAGAACCTTCACAGACATAATAATATATAAGTTAGGAACCCATCAATCTGGGCAGGTTTTCCTTATCACAAAGGAATCTCACCCAATAATGTAACACAGTCCTGCACATTACAGTTACAAAGCTTCTTCAGCTACATGTGTGCCGGGCACACAGAAAAGAAATGATTAAACAAACTTTATTAATCCCTGAGGAAGTTCATTGATCACAGTAGTGCGCTACTCCTACTCACAAAAAATAAAACATTCATCAGCCAGAGCCTGATCTTCAACAGGTAACACAAGCAGTGAGGAGCAGCCAGGGTTAAAGCCTATTTCTACTTGTTCATGGTTCTGAAGTAGAATCACTGTGGCGGTCGCTTTAAAGTATCTTTGGGCTGATATGCATGCTTGCTTTGTGTTTTACAGGTTCTGTGTTCATATGTGTGTAAAAAAACAAACAAAAAAACTGAAGGAAAGATTGCATATCTGTCCTTACTAGGATAGAGATTTGTGTTGATGTGTGCAACTGTAACAAAAGGTTTGTTTTATAGGCTGGTAAATATGTGACAATGCGTTTTAGTTGATTTTTCAGAGTAACGAGAGAGTGGTGTAACAAATTACTTTCGCCAGCAAGTAATTGAGTAATAGACTGCATGAAGAAAAGTCAGAAAACATGTGTAATAATTTACTTTTGTGGAGTAACACTGCTGTTCAGGTGGCTAATTTCCAGAATTTTGGCAATGGCTCTAAATTGTTCTGTCTTATATGGTAGCATTTTTAGTGAAGTACATCACACCTTCATTACAGCCCAGTTTCCCAGTTGCACTAAAAATCCTCCACCCAATAACACTCCCTGGTTGATGCCCCCGCCCACTGGTGCATTGGTGGTTCTGTGTCTGGGTGCCCGGGTGTGTATTGGCTCCCTCCCAGCAGCTGTTTGCTGGGGCCTGGGTGACCCCTCCTGGGGCTCTCAGCTCTTCTCTTGGTGGGTGGTGCGATTGCCTCTGCAGTCATCCTCTTTGGGCTCTTGTGCTCTGGGAACTTGTCTTGATTATGGAAGCTATCGTCCAAAACAGCTTTTTGACTATAAATTTTTCCCCTCAGCTGTAGATGCAGATGGTTTATTGTCATCAACCCACGGAGCAAGCGGGTGGTATAGATGTCTGAGTTTGTGAATGCGATTACCAGAGTACAAGGAAACAGTAAATTGACACCATAGGTGAATCTAATTAAAAAGATCTTGGATGAGCTCGAATCTAAGTGACCTCGACCTCATGGTCAGAGGTCAAGTTTTCTGAAAATCTTGTGAATTGAATAATTTGATAACACAGCGACATGGGACTTTGAAATCTAATAGGGGGCAGCTCTGATGGTTGCCATTTTTCTTCTTCTTTTTTACAGCTTAGAAACTGTAATCATAACTTGTAGTTGCTGTTCGGTGGGCACTTTAACATGGTGATCTGACTTGTTTTTGGATCCAGCCTCAGGCGACTATACCTTGAACTGTGGATTTTGGCACTTCTATGCAAGCTTAATTTTTTTGGCCCAAATGTCGTCAAGTAGAGAACCGTGAAATGCTACGGGCTCATTAAAGTTATAAATAAAATTCTCTTTTTCACTTTTAAGTTTTGTTTTCATTTCCAGTTTTTGGCTACATTAAGACAAGCAGAACAATATTGTCATCCCTTATGTACCAGGTTTGTTAGAGAAACTCATGAGTCTTTTCCAAGAACAACATCCCAGTGTACTTCAGACTCAGCCACACACTGAGATAGAAATTGGTTCATCCGAAAGAAAAACACTCCCAAAAACAAACGTAACAACAAGTGTATGCTGTACAGTGCAGCGAGGAATGCTCAGACCAAACAGCCACTTCATAAACACATGGCACAACACACAACGCCTAATGCCACTCACATCTTGGGTCATTTGATCAGTAAGTCAGATGATAGGCTGGGGCAAGGTCTCACAATGGGTTCACCTGAAACCTTGGGTGATTGTGACCCACACCCGTTTTCACACTTTGGCTCGTGTGATTAGGCAGAGGATCAATTGGGGGTCCAGGACCCTCTTAGGATCACTACTAAAAAGCCTTAAATTTGGGAGTCTCCACCATTTGGTCTTAGAACTGAAGAAGCTTCTGGGATGAGAGATGAAACGCCTTCAAGAAACTTAAAGAAGTCCAGAAACTTTTCTTTCCAAGCTCCTTAGGCTAATTCACTGTACAAATTTGTCAATCTTTGTTTACACTTGTAGATCATATAATATGCATTTGTAATGGTTTTGAGGGGTATTTCTCTATGGATGCATCAGAGACCAACTCGCGGTTTGTATCTTGGCCAATGATACTTGGCATGCAAATGTGCAAGTGGAAAAAAGTAGTAATAAATATTTTTTAAAAATACACATTGAAGGACACATCCTGGTCAAAACCAATTCAAAGATTCCTGACAGTGTTCGTGGAGGCCAAGTTTATGCCACCCAGAGTAAGTATCTGGTTGGATACCATAATTGTACGTTTTTTAGGCCGAGTACAATAATCAGTTTTTTCTGAATTTAGAAGCAGAACATTGTCTTATAAGGTGTGAAAAGCATGCGGGTCATTATTAGCAGAAGCTTCAGGTGAAACCATTGCCTCAGCCTGTCATGTGACCCATTGAGATCAACTGACGCAAGATGTGAGTGGATGTTAAGGTGCCTGGAAATACCTCGAACTGTCCACCATTTGGTCTTAAAACAGAAGAAGCTTTTCAATGTCTTCAAGAAACTTAAAGAACAAGAAGCCTGGTTGCTTTTCTTCCCAAGCTCCTTGGGTTACCACGACCTGGATGAGAACCTGCACAGGCATTTGAGTTCCCTGTGCAACTCCAGAATTAACAGCATGCATTTCTTTTTTCTTTAAATAATAAAAACCTGAGTGGAATCTTGAATGTTGACATTGATACGAGAATATTAGTGTTTGGGTTTTTTCCCCATTTTTAAATAGTAATGTTTTTTTAATGATGTATAGAAGTACAGTAAAAAGTGCTTCTTAACATCTGCCATCAGAGACAATCTTTGTTGTGCTTTAGCTCATACCATGAGCGTACTCTTTAAATAAGATGACCCAGTTCTGGGTGCATGCTAATAACAGGGTTACAGTAATACAGTGTTTAACCGGCCACAGGCCTCTGTAAAGTCCAGATCCTAGTTACAAATGCACTTTATTTTTTCTCTTTTCATTTTTTGACTGTCCTGTTTCCTGACAGGCCCTGGGGAGGATATGGGAGCAAAGGTGTCATTGGTGGAGGATACTGGGCCCTGTTCTACACTGCTAACTCACCCCACTTTTAAAAACATCCAGGCAGCATATGAAGATGGAGAGGAGGACGTTGCCAGGGAGCTGATTCAACAAGCATGCTGTGTGGTGTGTAGTGCTGGGACACCGCGCATTGATGGGGTAAGTATCATTACACCGCTGTGTAGGCTATAAATATAAAATCTCTTATGCAAGTTTGGATCTAGTGTTACAGTGGTACGCTGGTAAGTATGTGCCTAAATTACAAATAAATATAATTTATAATAAATAATTTATGAATGCAATTATAAATTAAAATTGACTGTTATTGTTATAAAGTACTGAAAATTCTTTATAGAGTAAAAAAAAATCAAATACGAGTATTTGTATATACACATTAGGGACTGATAAGAATTTAGCCATTCCACTTTGAGCGTCACCACCAATGACTGTTTTCTGCAGTCATTGGTCACCACCATCTCTAAGCAGTATATTAAAGACATTCACACAAATTAATTACATGCTGAGTCAAGTAGTGAATGGCTTCCACTTTGCTCAGGGTCGCTTCTCTGCCTTTTGTGGACGTGGTTCAGTTAGCTTCATTAGGCGGTTGCGTCCATTACACATTGGAGCGTTAAGTGTTGAGACCCTTTGCTACAATCCATATCCAAGGCCATAGTTATTCAGTATTCAACTGCTACAACAGCAGTTTTCAGCTCGTGACTCTGTTTCTCTCTGGAAATGGGCAGGCAGTAAAACAACTACTAGCCCAGGAACTCCTCCTAATTCCTGGGAACTATCATATCCCAGCAGTGGGATATCAAAGCAGAGAATGTGCTTCCTGCACCAGCTGGCAAAAATAAACAAAAACTGCCAAAGTCATTAATGGTGCAGTTTTACTTCTCCATCAGTGAATCTATCCTCCTCTGTCACCATCTGGCATGCTGTTGCCTCTACCAAGGACAAAGGCAGACAGTAGCATGTCATCTGCTCTGCTGAGAAGGTGATTGGATGCAACCTGCCTTGCCTACAAGATCTGTACACCACCAACACACTAAGAAGTGCAAGGAGGATTGCTGCCGACCCCTCACACCCTGGTCATGAACTGTTTGTGACACTCCCCTCTGCTGGAAAGCTGCCCATCAGAAGCAACACCTCACAGCATGACAGTAGTTTCTTTCCCCACGCTGTGGGCCTACTTAACAATGCACCCTCACCCTGATCACTACTTCATTAAAGTAACACACACTACTTCATTTGCCACACCCACATACCTCTGGGTAACACACCTGCCTTGGGGGCAGGTGTGTTACCTAAGGAGCTTGGAAAGAAAAGCAACTGACTTTCTTTAATTCTTTAAGCGAAGTGAAACATCTTCAAGAAATGTATAGAAGTCCCGTCACTTTTTTCCAAGCTTCTTGGATCACCATGGCCTGGATGACTGAGAAGCGTTAAAGGTATATTGTAATGAAATTTCCAGATGAATTTTTGAAGTCTTGTGTTTGGTCTTTAATGGATTTTTTTCTTATTTCTTGGGGATATTGCTTTCATTGTGACTGGCGACAGCAATAATTTTGAGTTGGTTTAGGTAATGAATGAAATGCACTATATGGACAGAAGCACAAGGCCACCTGCACTTCTATAGAAGCTGCTTAGACATGGAAATGCATGCCATAAGGCTTCCTTAGAGTTTTTGTACTGATGTTCGTGTTTGTAACTCTGTAGTCATCGAGTCAGCTGAGCGCTAATGATTTTTATCCATTATAAGCCTCGGTGCTGGTTAATCCCACTCTACAACTTTGTTGGTTGCCAGTTCGTGGCTTAGTTGCTGTAGTACCTGCACACTTCTACTTTGCAGTAATACCCCTTGCAATTGATTGCGGACTATCTAGGAGAAATTTCATGAACTGACTAGTTGCAGCAGTAGCATCCTATAACAATACCACCCTTAAATTTACTGAACTCTCTACAGGGACCCACTTTTTCGCATATGTTTACAAAGGCGGAGTGCATGGCTAGGGCAAAGAAGTTTGGAAATACGTGGGGGAGGGCCAGACACATTCTGTCAGAGCAAATGTAACAGTTTCCAGTTTCATTTGGCGTCTATGGTACTTATAATGGAATATCTACAAAACTCATAATTATAATTATATGTCTCACCTGTACTACAAGTGACAAATAACGAGACATGTCAGTCAGAGACTGCTAACAATGGTGGTTGTTGTTCTCTGTTCCAGCAACGACAGGAACAGGTGAAACAGGAAATATACTTGCCATTGCACTAAGACAGAGATTCATAACTGGAGAGAGGTTTCACAATTTTATTTTATTATAACGTTATGACGTGGTTATGTTGTGAAACTCTGTGCAAGTATAGCAGGGTATCTGGAGGCGGAAAAAATAAAAACGCACAGTCGCCAAGCTTGAAAAACCAAAAATCTATTTATAGGTGTGAATGGATGGAGATGCACATCAATTTATATTTCAAAATGATATCTGGTCTATTTACTAAGAGGACGACTGTCATCAAGGCAGCAACCTGTTTTACTCATGGTGTGTCACAGTGTCACTAAGACGAAGGTGAATCCAACACAATCTAAGCAACTAAGGTGTAATCATAATAAAATTAAAGGACTTGGCATAAGATATTGACACAACACACCTAAAAGTTAAGCTATTATGCACAGGTTACTTATTACACCCAGTAACAAGCCCACTGGGGGGTGTTATAATATAACTGCAAATGGATAAACATCAGTTTCACAAAAATCTGTGCTATCCTGCTATCTCTCACCATCTGCTATAGAGAAATATTATGTTTGAGTAAACAAAACCCCAATTGATATCAATTTATGTGTTTAGAAAACATTTGTTAAGTTTTAATGTGCTTGTTTGTGTCTGATTGAGACCCCCTGTCTGATTCTAGTTGACTATGCTCCACCTGTGAGGCATGTGAATGAGTCTTATTGGGTTTAAATATAAAGCTCATTGAGTACAGAATGCTGATTTTGGTTCCATTAGTTGGATATGTTCTTTAGGACTAAGGACCTCAGCTCTTTTATTCTTTATCCAAGCCTGTCTAATGTTTTTCATGGAATTTTTCCACGTGCCATCTTTAGGCTGGATGCATTTTGAGGATTTGCTAATTATTACATTAAGGACTTTCCATTCAGTTCAGTTGTATTTATACTAGAGATGGCACGATACCACTTTTTTATGTCCGATACCGATATCATAAATTTGGATATCTGCCGATACCGATATGAATCCGATATAGTGTTTTTTAATCAACAAAACTGTTTTTTAAATATCTTGCTGCATTTTGTATAAGTTCATACTCAAGTTTAAAACAACAACTACACTAAAGCTATTCTGTTATACCTGTATGCAAAAAAAATATTTCATAGTTCAGCAATACTGATCAATCTAATAAACTTAAACCTGCACCATCCTCCCTATTCTGGTATTTTAAAGAGTACTTAGCATAAATATTAAGCAACCTAACTAATAGGGTTCCAACTCCCAGCAACAACAAAAATAAATAAATAAAAAATAGGGAATCACCCCTCACGCTCCACCTCATGATGCTTAATCGACGTAATCAACCTTAATTTGATGCAGCGTGAAAAAAAATGCACAGAAATCAATTATTTTTCAAGAAATATTAAATAGATTCAACATCTTTCTTCAACAAAATTGCAGACTGCACAGATGGTACCTTCCCAAAGGAAAAAGTGCTATAGCTTACTAGGGTATATATATTAGACTTAATAGTTACTATATACAATAATGGACTTCTATTCATTTTGCATCAGATTAAAACTTTGGGTGTCAGATAATTATTTATTAAAAGCTCGACATTTTAAATGAGAATAAGAAAGAAAAGTATGTCTTTGTGCCCCCTTTTCCCTGTTCATGCCCTATCGGCCCCCCTGGCTAAACTTTGCTAGATCCGCCCCTGCACAGTTACCAGCGTCAGCTACGTAGAAAAAGATCCTGGAGTAGAAAGTAATAATAAATAAATTCTAACAGCAGCTGATCAAGCTTAAACGTGCTGCTGTTGTTCAGCCGCTGGTTTCCTCTTTCTGGTGCAAAGTGGGCCAAAAGCAAACTAGAGACAGGGACTCATGACAGAAAAGCCGATCAGCTGATCGTTAAGCAGTTTCATGATTGAAGTAGCAGCAGGAGAGGCAGTCGCTCCATATATCGCTTGTTAAGCTTAACGCAGGAATGCTTTACATTCAGAGATGGACTTACACACTTGCTTTACTTCTCTCGGGATAACTTTGTCGGAGATGAAATGCCGGGTTGCTAGCGAAGCTCCAAATGCTATCCAGACCACCACAGGTCCCGCATGCCACAGCCGCTCTATCACGTGATGCATACTGCTCCGACGTGCTAACGTTCTGAGGTGAGTTACGGCGTGTTGCAAGTTTTGTGAGGTGCTTTCGTGATATTTAATGGATCGGATTACATTTTTTATTTTTCTCCGATATCCGATCCAGTAATTTAGGTCAGTATCGGACCGATACCGATACGTAATATCGGATCGGTCCATCTCTAATTTATACAGCGCCAAATCACAACAACAGTCTCCTCAAGGCGCTTTAAGGTCGACCCTACAATAATACATTCAGAGAAAAAAACCCAACAATCATATGACCCCTATGAGCAGCACTTTGGCAACAGTGGGAAGGAAAAACTCCCTTTTAACAGGAAGAAACCTCCAACAGAACCAGGCTCAGGGAGGGGCGGGGCCATCTGCCGCAGCCGGTTGGGGTGAGAGAAACCCCACTTAACTTTCCAAACATGCACTATATTATCAGAAACGTATGCTTATCTGCTTTCACACACATGAACTTGAGTGACATCCCATTCTCATTCCTTGCATAAGGTTTAATATGATGTCAGCCCACTCTTTATTGTTCTCCTGGCAACCGCCAAACCCATATACATCCAATTGCTTGCAGACCGAAAAATATGATTACCTCTAGAGAGTACTTTTCCACTGCTCTAGAGTCCAGTGGGGGAGTGTTTTACATCACTGCATCTGATGCTTTGCGTTGCACTGGGTGATGTAAGCCTTAGATCCAGGTGCTCGTCTATGGAAGCCCATTCCATGAAGTTCTTTATGCACTGTTGTTGACCTTATCTGAAGGCCACATGAAGATTGGAAGTCTGTAGCGATTGACTCTGCAGAAGTTTGGCGACCTCGGTGGACAATGTAAGTTGGCATCTGCTTATCCCGCAGATATATGGTAATTATGATTCAGTAAAAGGACTAGATGTTACAATCCCTGATAATGCATTGCTTTAAATGGAGAGAATCTTGAAGGATGGCTGTTATGAGGAAAGGCAGCCATGAATTATAATTACGTAGTAAACAAAAAGTGTGATGTAACTCCAAACATGTTTTATATTTTAGATTCTTCAAAATAGCCACCCTTTGCTCTTCGCATTCTCTCCATGAGCTTCGTGAGGTTATCACCTGAGGTTTTTTTCTGACAGTCTTGAAAGAGTTCCCAGAGATGCTGAGCACTTGTTGGCCCTTTTGCCTTCACTCTGCGGTTCACCTCAAACAATCTTGATTGGGTTTAGGTCTGCTGACTGTGGAGGCCAGGCCGTCTGGTGCAGCACTCATCACTCTCCTTCTTGGTCAAACAGCCCTGGAGGTGTGTTTGGGGTCATTTATGCTGTTGAAAAATAAATGATGGTCCAACTAAATGCAAACCAGATCCCCAACAGTGTCACCAGCAAAGCACCATCACACCACCTCCTCCATGCTTCACGATGGGACCTGTGTATGTACCATGCAGCTTTTCTGCTTCCCACAAAGACACAGCAGGTGGAATCAGAGATCCCAAATTTGGACTCATCAGACCAAAGCACAGATTTCCACTGGTCTAAAGTCCATTCCTTGTGTTTCTTGGCCCAAACAAATCTCTTCTGCTTGTTGCTTTTCCTTAGTTGAAGTTTCTTAGCAGCTATGTGACCATAAAGGCCTGATTCACACAGTCTCCTCTGAACAGTTGATGTAGAGATGTGTCTGCTACTGTGTGGCATTTATCTGGGCTCTAATCTGAGGTGCAGTTAACTTGTGGTTTCTAAGGCTGATGCCTCAGCATTGATCCTCAGCAGCAGTGGTGAGTCTTTGATGAATCTATTTGAAGTTATTTATCAACTTTTTCTTTGCTACATAATTCCATATTTTTTATGTCTTCAGTTTGTATCTACAATGTGTAAAGTAGTAAAAAGAGAAAAACCACTGAATGTCCAACCTTCTGTGTGGTAGTGTTTGAGTCTGTATATCTACTTTTGACCTTGTGTGGCTTATAGAAATGAAATTCTAACTTGTATATACAATTCTTTTTTTCATTTGTTTTCTTTTTGTCTTTTGTTTTTGAACGTTATAAAAGATGTATGGTGTGCAATCATTCCATCTGACACCAAGGTTATCTGTTCAGTTAGCAGTGTTGGGCAAGTTACTTTGAAAAAGTAACTAATTATAGTTACTAGTTACTTCTTAGAAAAAGTAGTAGTAGTTTCCTCTACAAATCATACGCACAAGTTTTGCAAACAACAAAGTTATTTGCAGCCATTTAGCTTTTTTATAACCATTTCAAACTGTTTACATAACAATCAGGTGTTCTACATTCAAATTATTTGTGCCACTATAAGGGAGAACATCACAGCCTGATACTGCAGACAGCAGTCTCTCTCTCTCTCTCTCTCTCTCTCTCTCTCTCTCTCTCTCTCTCTCTCTCTCTCTCTCTCTCTCTCTCTCTCTCTCTCTCCTCCCCCCAAAAATGTTTGTGTTCCCTAATTCATCTTGTCCTTTTAACAAGCGTTGCATTTTACTGGAATGTTTTAGCAATCTTTAGAGATTTTTATCCCGGTTTGATAACAGCTATGTAGTCAGCACTCACACTGATAATTATCTGTGAAAGAAAAGTCATGTGATCCATGAAACCCCTGTCCGTGTTGCCCTAACACTTGAACACACAGGGAACTCTGGGTTAACTTGGCAAGTTCCTTCATGTGTCTGTTTATCCTGATCTCCTATGTTAGCGTAAGTGAATATATAAGTGAAGATATCCTTTTTTTCCTCATTTTTGTTTTAATTTACAGGTACGTCTCCTGTGTGTGGCCACTCAGTATGGTGATCGACAGAGTGTGTGTTACCTCCTCAAAGAGGCTTGCATCCCAGTGCCTCTGGAGCCATCTAACAGCAACCCTGCTGTTTTGGCAGCGCACTATGGCCACACCGACTTGGTCAAGGAGCTACTGGACCATGTTCCCGGTAGGAGTACAGCATACAGTCCAACTTTCATCCTATGTGGATATATAGATTCCCTATGTATTATTTTGGTATTAATTATTCATTATAAAATGAATGACCACCAACAGCGAAATGTTGGCCACTTGGTCCTTAACAGGACCATGGCAAGTGCATGGACAACCTTTCAGATTTACACATCACAGCAAACAGTACGGTTACAGAGTTCTTACCACGTACAAACAACTTGTAGGTCAAAGTAGCTATACATGTAAAAGAAGCCTGACCCCGCCATAAACCTGCTCCCCCAGCAAGTAACTCAAGATTATCTTCAGCAGATTAATGGACTAATAATAGATTACCTTATGAGTAAAAGAAAAATGGGGAGTTGCAAGCTGCAGCATTGATTGGACAAGTTCAGTTTGTAGCCAGAGATTGAATTGAACGATGTGCTCAAAAGCCGTAGCATTAAAAAAAAAAGATGAATACCAGAGTGTTAGTGAGAAGAGGTGTTTTTCTTAAAGTTGAATACCAGGTTGGCTAAAATGGCTGTTTCCACCAAGGCAAAGACAGGTGAGCTCCCTGGAAGCCTGCCTCAGGTATGCTGTTATCAACACCTGACCAGGTGTGGCCAATTAGCACCAGCTGAAAACATGGAGGAGATTAGGGGCTGCAGAGGGACGTAACAAACAAATTAAGGACCGAGAGGACTTTTGGTGTTAATCAGGCCAAGAAACATAGAAAAGCAAATCATCAGCTTACAAACATTCTCCGCTCGAAGCCATTCCTCACCACACCCGCAGATTTGAGGATTACATCGGAGCACAATAGCTAAAGTTTCATTAGCGATTGCAGGAGATAAAAGTCTCAGTGATTGTTAGTGGATCTAACTGATGCAAGTGATGAAGAATAAAGTAGGCTCATCCAGGCTATGAATTTCTTTTCGAGGCTGAATTTCTCTCGAGCACGGAAAAGATGGTCCTACTCTATCGAACGTGTTTTCAGCATCTAATGAGACGTGAAACTTTACCTTTGAGGACGTTTGTGGGAAAAAATGTCATTTTCTTTTTAATTGTTTCAATTTCTTTGATTAGATTGAAATGGATGAAGGAAGAATTGTTTATGTTTTTAAGTTCAGTTCAGTTTAGCTTCATTCATATAAACAGTCGCCTCAAGGCACTTTATATTGTAACCCTGCAGTAATGCTGAGAAATCTGAACACTGCAAAAAGCACTTGGTCACATTCATAAGTAACTATTTAATTCAAGGTTTTTGTGAAGAAAGCGCCATCTTTCAGCGACACTGTGTTTGTAGTGGAAAGAAGAGAAGGGCGGGGACTGTAAACCTGATAAAGTAACTGGTGGGACCATGGTGGGGTTATTAAGGTTGTCTTGAACAGAAAAGGCAACAGTAGAGCATCTGCATTCACCATGGCACATGATTTAGCAGTACAAACCTGTTTAAACTGGGACCATATTTATTATTTTTGATTTCATCAACTTTTCAAAAACAAATAAGTAACAAATCACTGGCAAACAATCCTGTTCTGACTACTCCGCTCTTGGTAGGTCCATGCCTGAGGAAAGATTTGCTCAACTCGATGCTGGCCACATCTTGCAAGGAGGGTCACCTCGATGTGGTTCGTCTGCTGGTCCAGAGCTATGATGCTGACGCCAAGGACTGTGCAATCCATAGCGATGAATTTGCTGTCATCACTGGCCTGCCACTGTATGCTGCTTCACAAGCAAGTAAGGATATACTCACACAAGAGTCTAGAAAGCAATAGAACAAATCACAAATTCAAAATAGAAGAAAATGTTTTCATCCTGGTAAATGATGATAGTGACAATTTTATTTATATAGCACGAGGTCACAAGGTCCTGACTCGATTCGATTTGAATCGAGGAAATTTTGCCTCAGACAGTCAGAAACATTTTACAATTTTGCATAATTTTAAAAAGTTTAAATTTGTTCAGTATTGAACAGCAGAAATGAGGCTTTCTTGTCGGAAGTAACTAAAAAAAAGTAACAAACAAAAAAACCAGCGGCCGACACCGTAGACTGCTGGGTAACAAGTAGGGGTGGGTTCTCAATTAGAGAGAGAGAGAGAGAGAGAGCTCTACATGAAGTGTGATTTTTATCGTGGTGGAAGTAAGAGGAAAATCGTGACGATGTTTATGTGAAGCGTTGTTTGGATCGTCTGTGGCTGCTGGTTCAGTCGGTGTTGTTTGGAGAGAGATCAAACCTGTAGCTTCAGAATCAGCGCAAAAAGGACGTAAACACAAAGCGCCAACAATCAAAGTACTTCAGAGTCAAATGTGGAGCCGAGTGCCCAACAGGTGTCCCACACACCAGCTAATCTGCAACAGATCAAGCCTGAAGTAATGCTGTAAAGAAGAGCAGGCTAGACTTCCTCCACAGTGATGTGAGGGTTCAATTTAGAAAGCTGGGTGTGCTTAGTTTTTCTAAGGACTATGTGTTTGGACAACATGTCCATATGAAGTAAAGACTGTGTTTTGTTTTGTAGATAATGAGGAGATCGCTCTCTTCCTGCTGCAAAACGGAGCAGAGTTCTCTTCATACACCCTTATGGACCATCCAGCCTTCAGCAAACGTATTCTCAGACTGAAACTGCAGGAAACATACGAGGCAGAAGGAGACAAGGTCCGTGCTGCTTATCCAGTGAATGCATGGCTGTTAAAGGAGATTACTGTTGTTGATCACATTTTTATTTCTTTTTTCTTATCTCCATGTTTGGTCTTCATGTCCTGTCAGATATCTACTCAGGATCTCTGCAGGACTTACTTATAGCACGGAGAGTTTATACAGTAAAAAAGTAAATGTTATTAACCTGTTTCCACCAAAACTGCCAGCCTTATATGGGTGACCACAACTGTCAAAACATAATTAAAGCCCTAATAAATTAGGGGCTGCAGAGGGACGTAACACCTCCTCCCTCAAAAGTACTCTAGGACCCCTACATTTATTAAAAGCCCCTCTGAAGCCTTCAGGTCCTTGATCCACAAACCTGAAATAAAAGTAAAAGCTAACAGAAGCACAGTGTTCACATCTTTAAGCATGGATGCCCCTGCATGAGGATTTAAAGTCGCCACACTGAACACACAAAAAGTAACATGTGACCAACACAAAGGAGCACAACAGTCAAACCCAAAATGATTACCTGACCTGCTACAACACAAAAACAAACGTAGCAACAAATAATCACAATCAAGTGATCTGTTGACTCCACCACACAAATAATCACATACAAGTGGCGCTATACCACAACAAGTTACTTTAATGCAGTGGTTCCCAAACTTTCTTTGCTGGGCCCCTCCTTGTTTTACAAGAAAAATTATGCGCCCCCTTCTCGCGCGTGCACAAACACATCCTCCAACCACACGCGCACAAACACACCCTCCAACCACACG